TACCACCTTATATTCATCAGATTAAGTAAGATGACAGAAAAGGAAAAGGACAAATGCTGGAGGGGATGTGGGAAAGCAGGGACACTAATGCATTGTTGGTGGAGCTATGAACTGTTCCAACCATTCTGGAGAATAATTTGGAAATGTGCCCAGAAGGCTATAAAACCATGCATGCCCTTTGACCCAGCAATATCACAACTAGGTTTGTACTCCAAAGAGATCAAAGAAAAAGGAAAAGAGTGCATGTGTACAAAGATATTTATAGCAGCTCTTTTTATGGTGGCAAAGAATTGGAAAATGAGGGGATACACCTCAGTTGGGTAATGGCTAAACAAGTTGTGGTGTATGATTGTAATGGAACATTATATTGTGGTATAAGAAATGATGAAGTGGGTGGTTTCAGAAAAACCTGGGAAGCCTTATATTAGCTGATGCAAAATGAAATGAGCAGAACCAGAAGAACATTGTACACAGTAACAGCAATATTGTAATGACAAGCAGCCATGAAATACCCTAGCTATTCTGATGAATACAATGTTCTATGAAAGCTTATCTGAACGGATTCAAAATGAAATGAGCAGAAGCAGCAGAACATTGTTCACAGTAATAGCAATATTATGATGATGATTAATCGGGATAGACTTAACTACTCTAGTCAATACAATGATCCAAAATAATTCCAAAGGACTTCTGATGAAAAATGCTACTCACCTCCAAAGGGGGAACTGCTAAACTTTAAGTGCAGATTGAAGCAAACTTTTTTCACTTTCTTTATTTTTCTTGCTTTTTTTTTCTTTTGCAATGTCTAATGTGTAAATATGTTTTGCATGACTTCACTTGTGTAATGGCTATTGCACATCTTGCCTTTTCGATTGGTGGGGAAAAGGGGAAGGAGGGAAGGAGACAATTCAAAATAAAAATTAAAAAAAAATTAAGGAAAGGGTTTGGCAAAGGGCACTAGGTAGTATAGTGGATAGAGCACCAGCCCAAGAACTGGGTATAAATCTGTCTCAGATACTTAGTAGCTCTGTGATCCTGGGAAAGTAACTTAACCATTGTTGGCCTCAGTTTCCTCATCTAGAAAATGGGGATAATAATCCTGGATTGTTATGAGAATAAAATCGGATAATATTTATAAAGTACTTCACAAACTTTAAAGGGGTATATAAATACTAGTTATTATTATCACCATCATCTTTAATCACTATTTGTCTCAGCCTAGTGGTGCCTGGCAGAGAGACTTCCTAAATCAAAAATCATAGTCTAGAGCTGGAAGGGATGTCTGAAGCTTTAGATATGATCAGGTCGAGCTCCCTTATTTTATGGATGGGGAAACAGACCTGGGGAGGCTAAGTTACTTGCCCAGTATCTCACAGGTAAGTGGTAGAATTAGGATGCAAACTTACTCCACATTATTCCTATTTTCTAATAAGTCACTATGAGAACAAACCATTTCATTCTATAGTGAGAGATTATCATGGTTTTTATCAGTAATGTTTTTAATTAAATTAAATTTGCTAACCTAATCATAAACAAAGAAGATTAGAAAGGTTAGTGCAAGTTACAGAAGGCAGAATTGACATCGACAAATGTTTACCATTTGCTAATTACCAGGAGGCATCATGATATCATAAAAAAGATACTGTCCTTAGAGACAGGTATGACCTGAGTCCTTTGCTACCTCCTAGCAATGTAACCCTGGCCAAATCACTTACGTCTCTGACTTTGTTTTCTCACCTGTAAAACAAGGGAATAATAGTTTAATAGATAACATCTCTGATCTAGGGCTGGAAGGGAAGTCTGAAGATAGTCCAACTCTCTTTTTTTTAAATAAATGAAGAAACTGAGTCTCAGGGAGTTTAAGTGTTTTACCCCAAATCCCACAGGTGATATCAGATTGCCTACTATGTGTAAGCACTTAATGAATAAAAATAGCCATTACCAAGATTAACACTTTTATTTTAAATTTTATTTTATTTTTTATTATGATGATTATTTTAGAACAATATAACTTTTACTTTGATTTATCCAGATCCCTCATTTCCGAATTTTTCAAAATTGATTGGGATCCTGTATCAAAGTTATTTTGCTTCTACTCAGCGCTAAAATGATTCAGCATTCCCAACTCCAGCTCATGTGATTGTGATTCTCTCGTGCCCAGTTGGCCCATGACCGTAGCCTGATGCAGTCATTTTCTTATATTTGGAATTAAGGGTCTAGAAAAAGAGTATGTCATTTGCTGTGAATAGACAGTCAGTCAGTCAGCAAGTGCCTGCTATGTGGTAGACACCAGTGATTTAAAACAAAAACGTTTCCTGACTTCAATGATCTTACATTCTATCACATTTCTCTGGCACTACTATCCTAATTTCCACTATCACCAACTAGTAAGTTCTCCAGAGCATGGCCACCATACTCCCTAAGATATGATGTGGCTTTTTTGCTTGGCTCTTTGTATACAAAACCTTGAATCTGTGTTGTGTCTGTTTGTGGCTTCCAATGTGTGTATTACCATCAGTTAATCCAGGGATGTTGCTAGGATGCTGACAGCAGGATGTCATATCCAAAATTTAAAATCCTCTTCAAATGAACGTGCTGTGGCCCATTTTCCCAGAGTTAGGCTGCTACATCTCTCCTTCAGGGTTCTGTGGGGACCCTGAGAGATTTGGGGAGCCTCATTTCCACTGCCATGGGCTCAAGTTCCAACCTGTTGTGTTTTTTTCCCACATTCCCCTCTAGTGACTGATTTGCAGTCCAGTTCCATTTACCTGCTTAATATCAATTAACTGTTACAAGGAGATATTTACTTTGAAGATATATCGATAACAAAAGTACAAACATTTCCTTC